AACCAACAAGCGCTCTCACGACACGGCAGCTTCCCTCTCGTGCCTCAGTGGCTCATCTCGCGAGAGTCCACTTCTCTGAGGGCTTTGCCCATCGCGGTCGAGTTGAATCCACGCTCGGCCCCTTCGCTCACGTAGATGCCATCTTTATGAGACTGACACACCGCCTGCTGTGCAGTGGGGCGGCTCCAGCGCAGTAATCTCAGCTCTGAGACTCAGTGTGATTCTTCTTCACATTGTCTCTCTCCCTCTCTCTTTTGTTCATATCTTTCTTTGAATCTTTGCACTCAGGGCTCCCGCTCTGGCCACTTGTCCTTTGCCACGTCCCCTTCCTTTCTTCATACCTCGCCAGCTTCTCTGTGGCCTTGTATACACCTCCTCACACTCACCCCTGGACCTCTGCATAGCCGTTCCCTCTTCCAAGAGTCTCCACGTTCTCTCCTCTTCAACATCCGGGTCTCAACCCCAGGGTCACCCCCTCAGAGTCCCTCCCTGTCCCTCTGTCTCCAGAGCCCATTCCCCATTCTCCACACCCTGTCTCCTCTCATCTTCACGCTTGGCAGTACTGAAAACACCGTTTTGTTTGGTTTTGCTGTCTGTCTGTCTCCCAGTCTTCAGTAGAATGTCAAGTCTTTGAGAACAAGCGTTTTGTCTTGTTCACCATCATGTCCCCCCAGCACCTGGCACAGTACTGATGTCATAGTGTGTGTACGTGGGTGCCAGCAGTTGGACTGAACTGTTTCTGTGGCTGCACCTGGCCCTCCCCTGCTTCTAGCTCCATGCTGTTCCTTCCATGTGAATTTACTGCCCCAAAGTCTCCACAGGTCTAAACTCTGGCTCTTTAAAAAAAAAAAAAAAGTCTAATTTTCCTGGTTTCTCCATCTGGAAACGGTCTTCCATTTGGCCCTCCTTGCTTTATATTTGTTGTTTGTGAACATGGTTTATCTCTGTGAGGTTGGGCCTGCCTGATTCACCTGGATGTCCACCCCAGTGTCTTAACCCAGAGCAGACAGATGCTTAGGATAGACTTGTTATATTAGTACTTGAAGAGACAGTATAATTTAGTTGGCTGCTGGAACAGGAAGTAGAAATCTTAATTAGACTTTTGCATACCTGTTTGCCTGGCCGACTTCTCTCCTCCCTGTGTTCCCTGGGTGAGACGCCAGCGCCTGACATGCTGCAGGGCCCCCTCCCCACCGACCTCTGGCTGTGATGGCTAGAATTAACGAGATAATGTCCCATGTACTTAGGCGAAGGTGCTGAATACATGCAGGCGACGGTCTTGTTGTTTGTTATAATTGCATTCTTTGAGTCCTGTGTTGCGTAATGAGCTATAGCATGCCTCAAAGAGCATTTCAGGAATGAACTATGAGATGGCTGTAGAACACTTTGCAAGTTTGTTGCGTCGGGAGCATGGCAGCGGCAGTGAAGCGCATTGACTAGGAGGTGGCAGGGATTTCGTGTGTTCCTGTTCCACGGATGGGTGTGTGCGCTCACCTCCCCCAGACAGTTCCCTAATGGAGCTGCTGAGACTGGCGGCTTGTGACGTTCAGAATAAGACCTAACAATACTTGTGTGGGGTTTAAATGGCATTGGAAATCATTAACGAGACAAAAAGCTATGATTTCCCCTAGATTAACATGCAGGCTGGGGTTTGGCATGCCGAAATTCATTGTTTTGGTCTCTAGCCCAAACATGCTAGAGTCATTATATTGTCATGTGGTAATTAGCTGTTCCTTTAATACAAGTAATAAAAATTAAGCCTAAGAGGTACTTTAGCAATGCCTTTTACATAATCCAAAACAATATTCAAATGCTGTAGGCGTTGAGTCATTCAACTGTACTGTAGTGAAGTTTGAAGTTTAATGCATAGAGATGTTTGAATCCAGTTCATTCTTTTGACCAGTTTTGCTACTTAGGCGTTAACCTTTAATCGTGTTAAATTAAATATACATGCCATAATGAATAATTATGAACATGCCAGAATTTTCATTTACAATATAATGCTTTGAAAATTTGTCTAAAGGTCCTAGTTACCATTGACTTGACAGTGTGCATGCTATTTTTATATGTCACTGAATTCCTTGCTGAATCAAACGAGGGAAAGTATTTTTTTATTTGAAGCAGACACAGTGGGTCCTGGCTTCTTAAAAGGAATGGACTGGAAGAGTTGTCAGCAGAAGTTTTAGGGACGGAGGGCAGTACACTAGCTTAGCTCTTCAAAAATATAATTTGGACTGGCACTTGTGCCGGGAAGCCTACAGGAGTTGACGTTCATAGACTTTAATAGAAGCACAGTGGTTCTCCTCTCCTCAGTTCTTCCCTGATCTCGCTTTCAAGTTCAAGTTGTCATCGTACATGGAGGGAGCCAAGGGCATGCTGCTTTGTCTCCTTCAGGCCATTTGCCCGGCATGAGACCATGGTGGGAGAGGAGAAGGGGGTGGGAAGGTGTCCAGGGAAGGTACTGAAATTTAAAAATAAAAACCTGTCCCTGAAATGTTCTGAGGATGTTCATTCTATAGTATTATTGCCACTCCTACTTGCAAGGAACCATATCCCTGAAATAGCTTTTGAGATCTACTTTATTTTTTTTTTTGAGATCTACTTTAATATAAATATTTTAATGCTGATAAAAATAATCATGAGAGGCCACAAATGAGAAAGCAGTGATGTAGTCATAAGCTGTATATGCACCCAGAATCAGTGCCCAGCCGCTGGGGTTTCACTTGATGGACGGTGTTGGACGCTGTACTGGACAAGCCCTGGGGCCTGCGTTTTGTAAACCCCGTGAAGACACTGGCATCTCAGAGTGCTCCTGGCTCCTGGTGGCTGTGCCAACTGAGGCGTGGTAGGCCGAGCCCTCCCTTCCAGGAACCAGGGGTGGTCTGAAAAATTAACGGCTCTGGTATTTGAAAATTAAGTGAGCGCTTGAATATATACCCTTGTTGATCCACCGGGCTTGGTGTTTAGCATTCCTCACCCAGAGACTAAATCTTTGCAGCCGTCTCACAAGTGATGCTGGCGTCCATACCAGAAATATCTTCTGTAATCTCTTCTAAGCCCAGCAGACTCGGGTATGCTTCTGCTCTGACGGGGCCTGAGGGTCCTAGAGGAAATGCCCCACTGGGGCCCAGCAGGTGGATTATAAGTGCAGCAGAAATAAAAATAAAGACCCAGTTGATGCCAGAAGAACATTTAATATATCTCCATTTTGTGCTGAATTAATGGTAAAGGCAAAGACCTCACTAGTACCATAAATTTCCATGTCCACAGTGTCCAATTTTAGGTCCAAATCCTTTACAGGAATTAGAACCCCTTCCAGGGCCCGGGAATGGGCTCTTGTCTAACACTCGGAAATGAATTGTCCTGGGAGACACACATGCTGACAAAGCAAGAGACTTCGTTGGGAAGGGGTGCCCAGGAAGAGAGCGTCAGGGTCGGGAGCCCAGGAGAACCACTCTGCCACGTGGCTCACAGTCTCTGGTTTTCTGGTGAGGGGATTTGTTTCCAGGTTTCTGGCCAGTCATTCCAACTCAGGGTCCTTCCTGGTGGTGCATGCTTTGCTCTTTCAAGATGGATTCCTACGAGGATTCTGGGAGGTTGGTAGGACATATGGACTGGCGTCTCCTCTCTTCTTTGGACCCTTCCCAAATTCTTCCAGTGGTGGTAGCTTGTTAGTTTCTTATCAGGACCTCCTGTTGTAAGATTATTCATGTCAAGTGGTTACTATCGTGCCTGGGCCAGGATGGGTGGTTTCAGTCAGTGGTTCACCTAATTAATCCAGTTTTTTTGTAAGGAATCTGAAGGTGGATAGCACATTGAATTGTCTATAAGACTTCTCATAACTGGCCTAGATCTCCATTCTCCTACTGTTTGTACTATAACTAGCAGTGGGGTAGCCTCCTGACTGGCTGGCTCAGTGGCCCGGTACAGGTCATCATGGCTCGGTCACCAGCTATGCCTCTCACAAAAGGCAGAGCCACCATGAGCAGAAACTCAGGGTTCTCCTGTCTTCAGATCACCAGCTAGTAAACCCTGACTTGTCTCCTGAGCGTGCTTCATCAGTTAAAGGATGACCATGACAGAAAATAGTCCTGTCCTGAATAGGGGATTATCTTACAAGAGCCCCCCTCAGGGGACCTTCCTCACTGGAAGGATGATCACTGATCTCGCAGACCTAGGTCTGAGTTCTCTCTGCCTCCTATTGTTATTGTTGCCAAGTCATTCTGACTCTTTGCAACCCCATGGACTACAACCCACCAGGCTCCTCTGTCCATGGCATTTCCCAGACAAGAATTCCAGAATGGGTTGCCATTTCCTGCTCCAGAGGATCTTCCCGACCCAGGGATCAAACCCACGTCTCCTGCATTGGCAGGCAGATTCCTTACCACTGAGCCACCAGGGAAACCCCTCTGCCTACTAACCAACTGGAAACCTGGACACATCACCCTGCCTCCCTGAACTTTAGTTCCGACTTCTGTGTAAAGAATGAGATACATGTGACACATCTCTCTCCCAGGATTGTCCTAGGGTTCAAATGAGAAAATGTCCGTAAAAAGTGTTCTGTGATGAGCAGATGCTCTCCAGGTAGCAGGTGTCATTACCAGCTTCACAAGAATTATTAGAAACCTGAGGCTTTCGGTGCCTTCTCCAAGCGGGTGCTGGGTGATTTTTCCAGGCTCCCCCACTGCCCCTGCCTGCCCCAACAGCCACCGTATATATCTCTCTCTCTTCCAATCAGATCAGGGAATGAAAAATCCTTCAAGTGTCACACCAGGCCAGGGCAGTGGGCAGATCCCAGGGAGCCCATGGTCAATCTCGCCCCATTCTCATGCACTGGGCTCTACCTGCACGTCGCTTAGCGGCTGCAGAGACGAACCCTGTCCACCCAGCGGGGCCCCGGGAAGCTGACAGCCTGGGAGCCAGGTGACCTGCTCCAAGCCTCTGCAAGGGTGGCTCAAGCGTGTCCAGAGGAGGGTGACCCGTGTGTCCCTCTCTTGCAGATCCCGTTCCCGCACTGGACCTTGGGCAGCAGCTCCAGCTCAAAGTGCAGCGCCTGCACGACATTGAGACGGAGAACCAAAAACTTAGGGAAACTCTCGAAGAATACAACAAGGAATTCGCCGAAGTGAAAAATCAAGGTTGGTGGAAGATGTATTTGTTCCTTACTTTTTCTTTTCTTTCTTTTTTCTTCTGTTCCTTTTTTTTTCTTTCCTTTTATTTCTTTCTTTTTTTTTTTAAATTATTTTACCCATACTGTTGGGACTAGCTCTGATTGTCACCTATGTCATAGAGTCTGGACGGGGGATTACAGAGAGAAAATAATAACACTTAGCTATTGAGAAGGAAGACTTTTCCTCCACATGAGAAGGAAAACTTTTCCTCCACACTATGACCACATATGATTTTATTGCTTCCCTGATAGGACAGATTCGGAGTCTTAAAAGTTCTTCCTGAATCATCGTGTGATAGGGTCTGCCTTTAAAAGACGGATGTGTTGCCTGCGGGTGGCACCTGTCAGACAGCTTATGATCAAAGGGCCACATCCAGTAAGTGGTTTAATAATTGCTGCTGATACATTAAGGCTTTAGACGAAGGCTCCATGTCCCCACACTTAAGAACCCCCGTGTCCTCATCAGCATCACCTGTTCATGACGAATCTAACAGAGGAAAACAAAATTTAGCCTCTTGGTGTGGTTGTCCAGCTGTCAACAAGGAGAGAGGGCAAAGGTTGCCTGGCTTTTCCTGCCAAGGAAGACTAGAGAACTCTCTCCTATACCTAAGATCCAGATGTGTCCCAGTCAGGCTTCCTTGTCTCAGAGAAAAGCCGCCGCCCCATCTGACAACTGCAGCAGGTCTCTGAGCCAAGTCCAAGTGGAAATGAGCCTCTTTGGTTTTGTTTGGGGTGTGGGTGAGGAAGGTGACAGAAAAGAGAGCAACCTGCTTGAGGGACTTCCCCTGAGGGCTACAGAAGGAATTTCTTGATGACGATTTTTAAAAGCAGCCTTGGAGGACTTCCCTTGGCAGTCCCAGTGGTTGAGACTTCACCTCCCAATGCACAAGATGTGGGTTCGCTCCCTGGTTGGAGAGCTAAGATCTCACCTGCCTCACAGCCAAAACATAAAACAGAAACAATACTGTAACAAATTCAATAGACTTTAAAAATGGTCAACATCAAGAGAAATCTTTTTTAAAAAAGAAAGGAAGAGAGGCTTTTTAAAGAAAAATTTAAAAATTAAGAGCATCCTTGGGTTCTGAGACCTTTGGACCCAGGCTGGCAAGGAGGGATCGTCCACGGAAAGGACCCAGGAAGAGGCAGGACGGTCCAGGCCTGAACACTGAGGGCAACAGGCCTGAAGACCCCGTCCTGGAGGACGCCCCCTCATCCTGGCCCCACAGGGAGCAGAGAGGCTATGGACTGGAGGGATAGCTCGGTCCTGCTGGGGAGCGAGGTGTGGACTTAGGAGGTGGGGGAGTCCAGTGAGAGAAGTGCTCCCTCCCGGCTCTGGTCAGAATCACCCACGCTCAGGGGAAAGAGAACCCGGAAATTCTGGTTCTGACGTTTCTGCAGCACAACCCAAAGGGGGAGCGCTTGATGTTTCCTTCCAGCGACCCCTGCCATCTTATTTTGATAGATCCACCACCTGGGTTTCCGTCAGTTTGGTTTGGTTCTGGTGGAAGGCGTGCTCCCCCTCCCCACCTGCCTCACCACCCACCCCACCCCAGGGGCCAGTTGCCCAGTGTGAGGCCATCGCCTCCCACAGAGGTCTCACCTGATGGGCATTTTCAAATGAAATGCAGAGCCCAAGGGTCTTCCCTGGCGGTCCAGTGGTTAGGACTCCATGCTTCCATTGCAGGGGGCACGGGTTCAATCCCTGTTTGGGGAACTAAGATCCCATAAGCCCTGAGGCGCAGCTAAAAAAATAGAAACGCAGAGCCCATGCCTTAAGAACAAAGGCTCCACGGCCGGCAGACCGGGCCAGGGTCCCTTGGTTGCCACCACTTTGCGGTGGGAGCAGAGCTCTTGAGTGTCCTCTGCTCTTCCACACTGCTTGCCCTGCCCTCCCCCTAAGCTAACAGCCCCCCGACCCCGCTCCACTCACATGGACGGGCACAGCCGGGACACACCCAGGGCAGTGTCCTGGCCCCAGGCCCAGGTGCCAGAGGAGGGACAGAGGCTCCAGGACAAGTCACCCCTGGCTTACCAAGCAGTCTTCCCGGGGTGGGGGTGTTGAAGAGACCCCACCAGACCGAGTGGAGCTCCCAGCTAGCACCCCAAACTCCTCTGGAAGGAGCGTAGGTGGGTCAGGGACTGCCCAGATGTCTCCAACCCATTGTTCAAAGCAGAGATGCCGCCTGTTTATAGCCCGTAGGCTGTCGACTAAAGAGCATATGCAGGTGTTTCCAGAGGTGACCTGTCATGTTCCTGTTTGGGACACGCTCCACTCCCTCCCAGCCTGCACCCCTGCACTCGTGTGTCAACAACCATTGTGCTTACAGGGCATTTCTTCCAAGCCTCAAACACTCAGCCCGAGAGGCAGGAAGCCCCCTGTTCGTCTCTCAGATGCCTTACCAGGGTCATTGGTCTTAATTCCCTCTCTCCTCCTCTGAGGAGATCCCCCTGGTTCCATTTAAAGAAAAGTGTCAGTTTCTTATTTTAACGAAAGAGCCTCTAGCTTTTCTCTGTAAGCCACGTGGGCACGAACGCCCAGCTGTCAAGCTCCTGCCTGGGCCAGCGTGTCCATGCAGCTCAGGGAGTGGAAGCCAATGTGAGTGACAGCCCGAAGGGCCAAGGCCACCAGTCCAAGCACTTACATGAGCAGAGACCTGGCAGGCGACCTTGTCACGTGACCCTGGGGCCCTGTTGTCACAGCCCCTTCATGGCCTTACCCTGCTCAGCCCACTGAGCACCCACCATGTAGAGTGCTGGGACCTCCAAGACACTCAGCCCTGCCTCCTGTGCGATGGATCCTCATCTGAGCAAATGTATTCCCTCAAGGGCTTTGCTCACCTTGGAGCTGGGGCTGCAGTACTCGGCCGGGGGCCGGCCAGCACCCCCAGTGGGGTGGGGGTGTCCATGTCGAGGCAGGTAGAGCAATGCTGCCCTAGCCACCAACAGATCTGAGTTAGGACCCTGCCCTGTTCATTGCTCTGCTCTTGTGTTCCCATTTTGGGCCCATAAAGCAACTGCCATAAACACACACTTGGTGGAGTGGGGAGCCTGGGCTTTCCAGGGGGGGCCCTGCCACCCAGGAAGCCCTGTGTCCTGAGCACCAGACACCACAGGGCTTCATCTCACAGCACTGCTGCCTCCCCCCGGCACTCGCTCTCCCTCCGACGTGGCTCCCCTGGGCCCTAAGTCATCTGCTCTGCACACGCAGCCCAGGTCTGCCAGACTCTGACCAGGGTGGAGGGTGCTCTTGGCATCCAAGCTCTGGGACTGGTCCCTTCCAGCCAAGGAGACGTGCCCCGGGCCCACTTAGTGCACCCTGTGTCTCATCACTTGTGAAACAGCAGGGCTGCAGCCCACAGCCAGGGAGGTCTGTAGGCTTCTTGCAAAATGTGCACACAATTATGAACTGTTTTCTTTGTAAGAAAGTACTTAAACCTACACTAAAACATTATTAATCTTCCCTCAGTAGAAGACTAATTTCAGATTCATCAATAAGATGATATTATATTTTAGCATTGATTTCCCCCCCTTTTTCTTAAGTTGTATTAGAGAGACATAGTTCTTCTTCCCAGCAAAATCCATTGATCCTCCTCAACCTAAATGTTTAAAGTTCAATTTAACATTTAGGGAGTAAAAGGTCTCCGAAGGGACTCGTAACCATTGATTTTGTGTCAGAGTTGAAGAGCTAAAGTTTAAAACACACCAATCCTCCTAGGTTACAAAAGCCTAGTATATATAGCTGTGTGGAACCATGCTTCTCTTACTGGAGTTTTTTTTCCCCCCTTCTGCAGAGGTTACGATAAAAGCACTTAAAGAGAAAATCCGAGAATATGAACAGACTCTGAAGAACCAGGCTGAGACCATAGCTCTCGAAAAGGAACAAAAGTTACAAAATGATTTTGCAGAAAAGGAGAGGTGAGCACATTTTGGGGTCTGCAGGCACCCATGTGCCGATGTAAGGTTTTACTTGTTTATATCACAAGACAAGTTTTGTTTTGTTTTGTTTTTTTCATAAAGCAATCTCGTGAAATAAGCCCAGGTTGGAAACCAGAATCCTAGGAGCTCTAAGGCAGTGGCCTCCAACCTTTCTGGCACCAGAGACCAGTTTCGTGGAAGACAGATTTTCCACAGAATTAGGGAGGTGGGGATCGGATGGTTTCAAGATGATTCAAGCACATTCCATTTATTGTGTGCACTTTATTTCTCTTATTATTAAATCAGCTCTACCTCAGATCATCAGGCGTTAGATCCCGGAGGTTGGGGATCCCTGCTCTGAGGCACAATTTTGTTTGAAAACCATAGGTGTCCCTTGTTCTGTTATTTGTAAGATGGGCTTGAATGAAGTGTACCAGTCTCTCCCCATTGGTGAATGGTGTCTGGTGGTCCAAGGGTGTGTCTGTCGGGGCTGCGTGAGGTGGAGCTTGAGCACGAAGCTTGTGTGGTTGACACATGGGGTCGTACCCGAGGTGAGATGAGAGGGGCAGGACTGTCCCCTGCTGCCTGTCCTCTCTAGGAAGCCTTGGGTGACCCCGAGCTCCTACTGCCTTTTTCAGTGGAATTTTAGTATTTAACATCTCCCTCTGTCTCTGTCTCTCACACACGCACACAATAGCTTGGTTTGCTGGCATTGGTATCAGTAAAATATGTTCATGCACCATCTAGGGGTTGTGAATGTTAGGTTTCCACCGGCCTGCTTCACCCAAAACTTTGCCACAAATAACAAGTTGGGTTTTCAGCTAGTGTGACGACCTAATGAAAGTTAGCTTCCTCTGAAAACTGTAAGGACTGTTGAAGTCACCAATTCAAATTGCACAAGTCAGGCTGTCAGAACTCTGGTGAAGCCAAGGTGTAAAAATTTCAGCCTGCCGTGGAGAATCATGAGACCATTAACGAGAGGCTTGCACTACATGTCTGGTTACAAGTGAGAGGCAGGCCCACGATGGTGCCCTGTGGCTGTTTCCCGTGGACTCGGAAGCAGCTGCTCAGACGTCCGTGAGGCAGGCCAGTGGAGCTCTCGGGCATCAGTAAGGCCTCTCTGAGGCACCGTGAAGCTGGCTTCATTCAGAAAAGAGGAAGAATGCCTGCTGCACTCACTGCCAGGCCCTCTTGGGGCATCGTCTCACCTAGTGCCCAGGACAGACCTGCTGAGCCGACGGTCTCATTTTTCAGGTGGAGAGACCAGGCCTCAGGTTAGGGACCTGCCCCCACTCTCCCACCCAGGCACCCAGAGGTGGGGCCGGAGCCCAGCCCACCACTGTACCCTGGCCTCCCAAGGTCCTTGCTGCAGGACCAAAGCCAGTCCCTCAGGTCAAGCCCAGCTCTGCAGGGAACACCGCACCCATACTGCTGGGAGAGCCCCACAAAGTCAGGGCTCAGGATGAGTGGACTTTTGATTTAGCAGATGTGGAACTGCTGCTAAATATGTCTCCTCAGAAAGTACTTTATGCCCAAAGAGATTTCTCACCATATTACTGAAAACTGGGGGACAGGGGACACGCAAGTCATTGAAATGCCCTGCCAACAAGAAATGGATACATAAGAGATAGTTTTGTTGAATTTACAGTAACCCCAGAAATGTACCTGGCACAATATGGAGTGAAAAATGCATAATACAGAATTATAGACAATGTGGTTACATCTGCATGGAGCAAAGTCATGCTTTATAGAAGTGTTACAATAAATTGCTATAGAAATTTAATATCATTAAGTTGATTTTTCAAATTAGGTTAAAAGATTGATTATATTGAAAGATACAAATAGTTGACAACTGGGGGTAGGGGATAAAGCTAGATCTTTATCTCATTCTTTACCAAAATATTGAAATGCATTAGAGTTTAAGTGTTAGTAATTAAATCATATACATATGGGAAGAAAACATGGGCATTTACTTTGTTTTTAATCATTTTGGAATGGAGAAATCTTTCTAAGCATTTATATATTTTCTAAGAAAATGTATATGACTGCCTAAAATTTCATACAGACTTATAAAAACAAATGAAGATGAATAACATTTTTAAACCATCAAAAAACTGGGAAGAAATATTTGCACCACGTAAAAGAAAGGGCTAATTTTCCTTACAAACAAAGAGCTCTTAAAAGTTAATAAGAAAAAGTCAGCACTACAAAAAATGGGCAGAGAAGAGGAGCAGACAGTTCATACAAAGAGAAATTCTCAGCTTTATTCCACAGTAAAACTAAGTTTAATTTTATCCAGTGTTGGCATAGCAGAACACTCGAATGTTGTTGGCAAGAGTTTAAATTGGTGAGGTTCTTTTTGTTGGAAAGTTTCTGAATATCTATCAAAACAACAAAAACAATTGCACATACCCTTTATCCTTGTAGTTCTCTGTTTGAATTTTATTCAACGAATTCACTGTCAGAATTATGCAACAATACCTATGATGATCACTGTAGAATTGTTTAGTAGAAAGAAATTTGATAAGTCATCTAAATGCCCAGAGAAGCTGAGTGGAGTCAGTTATTTAATAAGAATGGGAAAGAGCTATATATGCTAGGGTAGACTATTTCCACAGTACTGAGATAAGTGAAAAAGCTAGCTACAGGATAGCACGTGTGCCCTGATCCCTTTTGTGTGAAAAGAAAGGGTTTTCTGTTTATATACATTGTAATATATCACATCTGAGTTTATATTATGCTATGGTACATTACATATTACATTGTATTTCTATAAATAAAGAAAAATTCTAAAGAGCTACAAAAGAACTCTATCTGAGGAGTGCAAATAGAGCCAAGATATAGAAAGGACATTTTACCTTCCATCCCTTATAATATTTGTGGGGTTTTTTTTTTTTTTCAACACAGAGCATTTATTACCTTTATAATTGAAATAGGTGCAAATGCGAGCAGTGCTTTTCCACAGATGATGGAAATTTGGGTGTCTTTTTTTAACTGTGCCATTTCTACTTTTCCATATTCCCAGGTTTCTTCTTCATGAGAGCATGTGTTACATTCAAACGATGTAAAAATAATAAACTTATTTTTAGAGATTTTTCTGCCGATGAGGAGGAAGGAATGCTATTTATTGACCAGGGAATTCATCTGGAGATCCTGGGAAATATAAATACATGGAATGTGGCTACAGACATTCAGAATGTCCCCATTAGGTATTAGCCTTGCATTCGCATTCCATTCTAACAGAAATGGAGCAGCTGTCACATCTCTTCAGTACATCCTTTATTCCAACAAATTCCTTCATTGTGTCAGCAAAATGTAAATGCATCATTCTTGTCGGGCTAACTTCAGGAAACAACGAGTGCGTGATGATTTTTCTTTCCTTTCTTTTTTTAAAATAACTGGCATTTCAAGAATAAGCTGCATTTAGGATAGCCTTCTACATCAGTTGCCTCGCATCAGGTCCCACAGGAAGTACACCTCCCCTGGAGGGTGACGTGTGGGTAAGAGTCAGGGGGTTAAAGGTCAGGGCATCAGGGCTCGTGAGGTTACTAGTGGTACCTGGCCGCACGCCTGTCACCAGTCGTGTAAAGGCAGCTCATGGCCATAGTTCCAGAACCACAAGACATGTGAGCTGCTCAACAAGATGACCAATCTGACTTCCCCCTCTTCCTTTTCAGAAAGCTGCAGGAGACCCAGATGTCCACCACCTCAAAGCTAGAAGAAGCCGAGCATAAAGTCCAGACTCTGCAAACAGGTGTGCTATTCTGCCTGCCCATCAGGCCACTGCGAGCCAAACTGACCCAGGACAGGCTTCCTCCACCTCCCAGTCCCTGCAGGTCCCCCTGACACCTGTCGCTCCGCCACTGTGGTGAGCCTGGAGGAGGGGGGGAGCCAGCCCACACCCCAGTGTGCCTCAGACACCACCCGCCCCCCCCACCCTGCCCCTTCCCACTTCGGCTATGTGAGTCACCCACCACTCTGAGTCCTTCGCGGCAAGGTGGGAAGCTGCGAACTCCATTTACATCACTGCCAGGAGCCATCCTTTCTTCCTGCTCTTTTCCCAACAAACACATCTAAATCACCAAACTGTCAAGGGTTGACTTGTCATTTGGAATGATAATGGGGGAAAAAAAACATTATTTCTACCCTTTGAGGTTAAGGAGAACAGTAATAGCACACCTTTAAAACTGCAGAAGTACCCAAAAATCTATGCTCAGGTTTTTCTTTAAACTTCTTTTTGCCTTTTTTTCTTTTTGTTCTGAAAGAGAAATGGGACTATATATTTAACTTAAATGTGGAAAAATAACAGAAGACATCATAATCCATGTTTAAAAAAAAAAATGACAGAGTGGGAGAAAATAATCACAACAAATTCAGACACGTAAGATCCCCAAAATATAAAGATCACCCGAAAGTCAATAAAAATAGATGAACAGTCCAGGAGAACAAGGGGCTAAGGATGGAAACAGGCAGTTTACAGAAGAAACACACAGCCAATACACATATGAAAAAAATGTTAATCTTGAACGGACAGGGAAATGCTAATTAAATCAGCAAAAGATTGTTTTGCCTGTCAGACTGTCAAAAGAAATGTTTTTAATTGATAATATCCAATGTTGGTGAGAGTATAGGAAAAAAATCACGCTCTCAGTATCGATGGGAAAGTAATTGCCTCTTGGGAGGCCAGCTGGGTGGTATTTGTCTGAAGTTGGAATGTCCCAGCTACTTACCCAGCACCTTCCCTTCAAGGTATCCTGATGCCCCGGGCCCGTGGCAAGCCCTGTACAGGAGCTAAATTGTTACTGTCATTGTCATGCCCCAGCATAGAGAGATTTCCATGCTTCTGCTCAGGGCAAAGTGCAAATCTCAGAAGATGTTTGTATCATCCTATTTATGAGTGCATGTGTGTTATTCAGTCACTCATGTCCTACTGTTTGCGACCCCATGGACTGTTTCTCACCAGGCTCCTCTGTCCATGGAATTCTCCAGGCAAGAATACTGGAGTGAGTTGCCATTCCCTTCTCCAGGGGATCTTCCCAACCCAGGGATCAAACTCTGGTCTCCTGCATTGCAGGCAGATTCTTTACCATCGGTATTTATGGGGGGGTGGGGGGGGAGGGTAAAAATATACATATGTGTATATATTTTTAATTTATAGGAGTGGGTAAAAATAAAATATATATATGTATATACACTTAAACATATATGCAATTATATATGGAAATATTTTTTAAATAGTGAAATTTATTTAAAAGCAGGAATTTACCTAATTAGAGGCTCATGGGATGAAATGAAGCAGCAGTGGAAGGGGATTGTTCTTTTCCATTCTGCAATACTTTTGTAATCTTTGCCTCCTTTGAAATGAGAATATTTTTTTTCTTTCTGATTTAATAGGAACAATTAGTATCGTATATCATGATTTTATGTCCTCTGCCTTTCAGCCCTGGAAAAAACTCAAACAGAATTATTTGACCTGAAAACCAAATATGATGAAGAAATTACTGCCAAGTAAGTCTCTGCCCATCTCCCTCTGTCCGCGTGCGTTTGGTCAGGTTGCTCCCAGTATTGCTAATCCATGAAAGATCTCCCTGCTTCGCCCTCCTTTTGATTGACTTTGCAAAGTGGTACATGGTTTAGAAGACACTTGGCCTCTAAGCTGCTGTAAAGAACAGAGTGTCATTGCTATGACTTCCTTGCATAAGTTTAAAACCCAAGATGTGATACTTAGCTGTGTCTGGTGCTCTCAGGACAGCCCTTTCAACTGACACTTTTTTTCTTAATTATTGTGAAGCCAGGTCACCACTGTGCCTTTTTCTAAGAAATTTCGGGAAAGCGTCAGCACAGAGAAGATGTGATACTTGGGATGTTTTGTGGAGCTTGGTCTGTGGCAATAGCACCACCTTTTACCCGTGCCCAAAGCCTCCACTCCCACACAGATGCATCTGTTCAAACCCCACCTTATGGTGCTGGGCGTCCGTTGCAGACACAAAGTAGGGGTGTGTACATCTTTGGGCGGGTATATCAAATAAAGGTCTTGTCGGGAGGGAATTAGTGATCCACTGCATGTACCCTGTTGCCAGCCAGCAAGCAAGAAATAACGTTGACATAAATCAAGAAAGATAAAGAAGCAACAGATTGTTCCCTGAAAACGCCAGGCTAGCATCTGAACTCCTTTTTCCTGTCCTGGGAGGCTCCTCCCATCTCCTCCAGACACTCCTCCTCATCCACCACTCCCTGCCCCGCCCCGCCCCACCCCGTCCCCAGCAGCTGTGTCTCCAGTAAGACTCAGCTCCGGCTGTGCTCACACCAGGCCTCAGTGGCACTGGTGGGTTTTGGGAGGTGGCTCTGAGTAGCGCCCCCTTCCTCCCCTGCTCCTGCTCCACGCGGGGCCCTGGTACTCAGCACTCCTCAGTCCGATCACTCTCACCCTTGACCTCAGAGGTTACTGTTGGGCCAACTGCTCTCAGGGCACATGGCGGCGGGGGGTGGGGGTGGGGGGGGGTGTGTGACCTTTGCCCTGGATTGTTTAGCAGCTCGAGACCTCAAGAGCCCAGCTACCTGGGCCAGGTGGTCAGAACCAATTTCAGTCATGAGGAAGAGAACTTCCTCACAGAGACTAAAATGTCCCAGTCAGTCTTGGTGGTTCTGGCCAACGTGTTGGCATGTCTAATCCTGGTGGAACCCTCCACCCTCCACCCTCTTCTCCTAGTGTGCCGAAATGTGACTTCAGATGGTACACAAAGGACTGGTTCTAAGGTCCCGTGACCCTTAAAATTACACTTTGAAAACTGGCAGTTCTGATATTAACCCTTCTGATCCTGGGCATCACTGCCGATGGGCCACAGGCATGCCCTCCCCCCGAGCCCACAGCCTGAGCGTTCCTTACCCTGCAAACACATCCTCCGAGGCACCACACCAACTGCTGTCCGCCTGGCCCTCCTAGGTGTCCGTGTCTGGGTTTCCTCTTCTACCAGCCATCTTTGTTTTTCTACTATTTCTGCTTAGACTTTATTCTACAACATAGATTGTTTTTCTCAGTAAATTTGATTTTTTTTAAATTATAATACTTTAACCTGATACATAGTTCTAACCTTAGTTTATAGCATTTCTTCTCTAAAAGTTTAATCTGAAGATGTTCTGCTTATTCCTTGATTCATTCACTCTTATCCACATCATCTTGCTGACAAAATTCATAGGGACTTTAGGGGCTGATATGTTGGATTGTTTGCTTAGGTTTTGTTAATTTATGTTTGTTAAACCACACCTCTTTCGAAAAGGCACAGATACATCTTGTGTATCTACAGTCAACAAAGTTTGCTTTGTTATGCACTTAAAAAACTTTTCTGTCTCCAGCCATACCACCCTGAATGCACCCTATCTTGTCTGATCTCAGAAACTAAGCAGGGTCTGGGCCTGGTTAGTACTTGGATGGGAGACCTCCTGAGAATACTAGGTACTGTAGGCTTAAAAAAAAGCAGCAGCAGCAGCTTTTGTACAGCCAACCAGTAAGCCCATCTAAGCCCGTGGTTTCCAAACTCTGGGTCATGATTGTGAAATCTGTTTAGCAAGTGGCAACCAGCTAGCTGGGTCATAAGTTAGGCTATCAGGAAGGTGGTGACCGGGATGGCCCGGGGACAGGGGGAGAGAGGAAGGGGAGTCTTCTCCCCATCCCTCGCCTTTCCTTGCTGTGCTTGGAGCAGGGTGCAGTGCTCAAGGATGATTCCAGCCTCCCAGGCGGTCTGCTCCTGGGAAGGGCCAGAGGTGCCTCCTGAGATGACAGGGTAATTTTCAGCCCTCAGTGTTGCCTTGAGTTACTGTTTGTAGATGCAGGGAACCAGCATGAGTCCATTCCTTAGCAGCCAGCTGCATCATTTGATGGTAAGATTGTTAAATCTCAGGTCACTTGAATCAGCAAGGCCACCCAGGAGAGCACCAGAGGCCGGTCCTCCTGACCCCAGAGCTCTCCTTGAACCTATCAGAGCCCGCTAACCTCTGATAAATGGCAGTAGTTGATGGAGGCTCAGGGAGAATCATCTCTAGACTACTTCCCATCATATCAGTGTATCTTAAGGCCAGAAACCTTTTTTTTTCCCCCAAAAAAAAATACAGATAAGTGAAAATCCACACATTACTTCTGCTTTTTCATTGAACTAGAATAAATGGAGGATAGAATAAAAAAACATGGAGTCTGTTATTCTGTCATGTAAAATGTTTTGCCTCCAAACTGCGGCTGCTGTTACCACCTGCTGACGGGACCACAGGTGCTCTCAGGGCGCGTCCCCGCCTGTGATCGTAGCAGGAAACCCTCGTCTCCTCAGACGAGTTGGGAGGCAGAGGTGCGGCGTGTACCTGGGTGCAGAGAGGGCAAGCCAGATGGGCGCAACCCAGATCCGCCATCAGCTCTGCTGACGTTCCTGGAGGCCTTCAGGGAGGATCAGGGAGCAAAGTCATTGCAATCAAGTACGACCCCTGCTGTCGGGGGGACATTAGCATCGCATCTGCAGCATCGGGGTGTCCACAGAAGACAGACACCCCTCCAGCCAGGACGGTCAGGAGGGAGTTTAACATGGGCACCACAGGGACAGGGAGGACCAGCTGCGTGTCCCGGCACCCTGAGCAAGCACTGGCCAGGCCTCACTCCGCCTGTGTTGGGAGGGGACAGGTCTCCAGGGCAGTATCAGCAACCCCTGGCCTTACCCTCCTCTGGGCCCTGGCCAGGACTCCCCACTGCCAGGGGAGGACCAGGGGGAGAGGGAGCTGGTCAGGGGGATAGTGGGTCTCCAGTACAGGCCCCACCCAGCTGGAGCCAAAGGAAAGGCTGCCAGGGAGGCCTTCCTGTAGGCGGTGACTTGTGATTTGAGGCACAAAGACGTGCTGGAGTCAGGGGTTGCTGGAGGCAAAGGAGCTCGGTCTGTGAAAACACCAGGCAGCAAGGCCAGTCACCTGGGGGACAAGCCTGGAGCTCCAGTAGGCTGATCTGCCAGGCAGGTGGGAATGTTGGGCACCAGGGCTGGACAGAGATGCAGAAGGGGGTCAGCCCTGTTCAACTTTTTGTGACCCCCATGGACTGTAGCTTCTGTCCATGGAATTCTCCAGGCAAGAACACTGGAGTGGGTAGCCATTGCCTTCTCCACGGGATCTTCCTGACCCAGGGATCAAACCCAAGTCTCCCACATTGCAGGCAGGTTCTTTACCGGTTAACCACCAGGGAAGCCCCAGATGGAGGTTAGCAGTTCTAAATATTAATAGAATCAAACGTCTAACACAGGGCAGCTGAGGGCCCAGCCCTTAGTGTAGATGATTCCCAGAGGAAGTAATCCATAAAAAATGTAGAGAATGGCCTGAGATAATAATTGCTACTTTCTTTTAACTTCAGAAACAATCGCTTCAGTCTTAGAGCTCCCACATGGAGCCGCCCCCCCCCCCCCGCCACGCTCCACCTCTTATATCCCTCCCTTTTCATTTTCTGGGAAAGGTCTGTCATTCTACTGTCTGCTTCCGGCCTGACTTACTTGTCCTGTGTTCGACTAGACAACTTTCCATCTAGTCTAGTACTTACCAGTAGAAGCCAACCAGGGCCCAAGCTCCTCACAAGTGGTCTTAAAATTTCAAAACAATGTATTTTCTCCCTTCTCAAAGGAGAGATTCTTAAAAAGGTTTCTTAAAAAACTTCCCTGGCAGTCCAGTGATTAAGACTCCACACTTCCACTTGACGGGGCACAGGTTTGATCAACCTGGTCGGGGAACTGAGATCCTACATGCTGAGCAGCAAGGCCAAAACAACTCTTTTTTTAAAGTGTTGACAGAAAATGCAGAACAGGAAGTGGGTGGGGGAGGCATCATGGAACATGGGCTTTGAGTGGATCATGGCGGGGAGGGGTGGCAGGTCCACTGTTCCTGCCCCATGTGTTCTTAGATAAGCTGCTTGATTTCTGTGCCTCTCTTTCCTCACCTATAAAATGGGCAGAATAGCAGTCAGAACTCTGGGTGGCAGTGGAGGGTAATGAGGAGTTATGCCCACAGCTCCCAGCATGGTGACAGCTGTCAGCTCTTCTGTTGTCAGCAAATAGAGGCTGTTCCCGACAAGCTTTCCCTGAGCTTGGTGTGTGTGTGTTTCCGAAATTACCTGTCTTGGGAAAGACTGGCCTGAATGGCATCATGTCCCCAGAACATTTGAAGAGTACATGTTGCCTCTCCTTCCCTGGGAGGATGTCACTGGGATGACCATCCCTCGCCGCCCCCACTGGGGACCGAAGCCCACAGGTCGGAGGCAGCAAGGCTGTCGGGAGCTCCTGCTGACTGGGTGCAGCCGTCGGCCTGCGTCAGCTGGGCTGGCCCACTGGCTGCGGCGGGGACAGCAGCAGGAAAGTTTTCCATGTGTAGGCTTGAAGCGAAATGTAATTAGCCTTTATGTGCAGAACAAGGCTTCATTGATGAATACAGCTGGTCTTTGTTTTGTCCTGTCATTGAGAGTGGGAGGTAAAAGTGTTCTTCTTCATGTTTATTAA